GGCTAGTCGAATCGTCGGCGTTATGGACGATTCTGTGGATACAGAAGCAGGGTTTCCTCCAGACCCGCTTCCTTGTGGTATAACAGAGCTTGGTGGAGGACCGATGTTTATAGTTGCTCCTTCTGCACAGCTCACGTTTTGAGATGGTGGGTTACTTAACATAAGAGGTTGACCTTCTCTGTGAGGAGAAGGGCTAACCTCTTCATGGTAGGATCCTTCGGGAGGAGTCCTGGTTCTAAGGGCCCTCTCAATGGGTCCTTCCAATGGTATATGGGACATGGCACTTACGAAGGGCGATTGCCCTTCGTGACTTATGGCCAAAGGCCTTGGTGCCACGGGTGAGTCCGTATGTGGTATACTGCTTATTGGATTCTGTTGTTCCCTCGATGATGTTTGGTCATCCGGGGGGGTATAACCCGAACTCATGTTTGGGTGGTTGCTATTCGGAGAGCTCCTTCTCAAATACATTGCTGTGTTCAATAGGGAGCAGTTTATTGATATGGGTGACTTTGAACACGTTCCAAGTCACTTCGGAAGATTGTTGTATGTAGTTATGCAAGTGCGAATATTGGTTATCAATTGTTAATCGATAGAGGGGTTAAAAAAGTGTAACAAGTTTAGATCAGAAGAGTCTACTTAGTCACACCTAAGAGCTAACCTGCCAAACCAATGCTATTGGGCTGGATGGAAGCTGCGTAAGGTGGATGTAAACTGAAGACAGTTCATCCACCCGGAGCAGATATCCATCCGTTGTGAGGTAAATACATACAAGCAATATAATAATAGTCCAAAATGCAGGAAATGAGAGTATATATTTGTGATGTAGCATGTGAGGTCACGTGCTCATTACAACTTTGCCCTTTCACTCATGACCGAAGGAACACCTGGACAGTGGGCACAAAACTTCATTGAGAAAGTCGAAGCACAAGCGACAGCTGGAGTCATTCTGGAAGCCGCTTGGGGAACTTGGGCCAAATTTGCAGCTGCATTGAAAGCTTCTTTTGCCGACCCAAACAAAGGAAAGAATTCTTACAATGCACTAGAGGAACTCACATATTCCCCTGGTCACAGCGCCGACGAATTTCTCCAAGAGTTTGAGACCCTAGCAGGACGCACAGGTTATATGGGAGCAACTCCCAATGACGCCCACCTCATCGTCCTCCTCGAACAAAAAGTACCTATTCGACTCCTCAACAAAGTCTACAATGATGTCGTACCCACCACCTATGCCGACTACAAGGAAAAAATCATTCGATACGACAACCTCAATCAGAAATTGAAAGCCATCACTCCCAAGAGATACAGAAAGATCTGTTTTATCTCCAATTCCAGCACCACATACACCAAGTCACCCACTGGAATCAAAGTCGAAGAAACACCCGCAGAAATTGGACGCACCTGTCCAAAAGGCAAAAAACTGTGGAGACCTGACCTTCAACTAGCCAGCCCTCGACAAGCAAGAAACCCGAAACGTCGAGTATGGCGTGCTATGGATGCGGGAAAAAAGGACATATAGTTGCGAACTGCCCCAACAAGAAAGGAAGAGAGAAAGGACATCAGCTACGTGCCTTTATTGATGATCTTGATGAAAGCAAGAAGAAAGCGATAAAGGATTTTCTTTGAGTCTAGAGGAACATGCAGCGCCTCTAGACGACGACTTACTTGTATTACCTAGGAACCGATACAATGTACCACCACCCCATGCCATCCACTCGACCGATACAACTAGCGCATTCAACACATGTACTTATATCGCCTTGAATACAATCGATTTCCCTACAAGTACGAAGTTTGCACCTGCAGAGACTAACCGCAGAACAAACGAGCACAAACCTCAAGAACCTTTGCCACTTGAGGAGGAGCCTAAGGAACCTGGCACATTAGAGGACGAATTACCCTCGGAGAAGACTAAAGCAATGGCACTGGCACTGCGCATTGGACTCGAGAGAACGAGTATAACCAAGGATCTAGTAGAGGGGATACCTTCTACTTTTACTGAAGACGCAAACTCATCACAGCTAGCCAGTGAGACTTCAAAGGACACAAGAGATTGGTCATCTCTTACCATGTCAAAGTTGAAGAACTTTGGACAGTCAGATAACTCTATGGATATAGAGCAGAGTTCGAAGGATACCAAACTAACCAGGAGACTGGACGACGCGCTGCGCCGTACTATTGGGAGTTCACAAGGAAATGATGAACTTCATTGTGTGGAGACCAGGAGGATTTCGGAACGTCGCGCTGGGAAGCAGCGACAACCTGATCCTATATCTCCTATACACACACGACTAAACACAATAGTCGAAGAAGAAGATTTTGCAGTTGACAATGACGTCCTGAAATCACCGAATGTCGAGATGTGACATTCATTCCAAAGACGTTTTGGAGGAAAACGTCTCACCCCTCATACCACGCCATGGATCGCACAACGAATCCATGAAGACCCTACCCCCTATACCGTTGGAATATTACGGATGTGGACGCACAACAGCAGACAGTTAGAAGCAACTGAAAACACTGTCGCACAACTGAACCAGTTGTCTGATGAGGACGTAGTTTCTGCTCTTCAACAGCTCCACACTCCCAAGAGATATATCCAAGGAACAGGAGGAAACAAACTCTCAATCCGCACAATTCTCGCCACCAAGAAACACGAGAAAATTATTGAAACATTCGCACTAATCGACAGTGGAAGCACAGGCTCGTGCATCCACAGACAAATAGTGGATGAATATCAAATCCCTACCAAGAAATTACCTCGCCCTATCCCTGTCTATAACGCAGATGGAACATTAAACAAGGATGGTGACATCAAGGAAACAGTCACTCTACGAATGATCATTCAGGATCACGAAGAAGAAATAACCTTTGCTGTATCAAACCTCGGAAGAGCTGATCTCTTCCTTGGACACGAATGGATGAAACACCATAACCCTACCATTGATTGGACTAAATCATGGGTTAATTTAGATCGATGCCCTTCAACATGCCATTATGTGATGCATGCGCATGAAATTGAAGAAGAACCAGAAACATTCTATGAACCCGATGACGAAGAAGATAAACTTTTCCTTGACGAAGGAGATCGTTTATTCGTCTACAACATCGACACATTCCTCAAATTCAATCAAACAAATTATGATTATGTCAAGAAATACGATCCTACCTATGGAAACAAGAAGGATTGGCATGATATTGTTCCACCACAATATCATCAATATGAAGACATCTTTGGAAAGAAAGATTTCAACAAATTACCAGAACAAAGACCTTGGGACCATGCAATTGAACTAACACCCAGTTCAAAACCAACCGATTGCAAGACCTACCCACTTTCCCCACAGGAACAGAAGTCCTTACAGGAATTTATCAAAGAGAATCTTAGAACAGGACGCATCTGCCCCTCAAAGTCACCTATGGCTTCACCTTTCTTTTTTGTCAAGAAAAAAGATGGAAGCCTACGCCCTACCCAAGATTATTGAAAACTGAACGACTTAACGATCAAGAATCGCTATCCACTACCATTGATCAGTGAATTGGTTGATAAGCTCAGTGGAGCTAAAGTCTTTTCGAAAATGGACGTACGATGGGGATATAACAATATCCGCATCAAAGAAGGAGACAAATGGAAAGCCGCATTTCGAACTAACATGGGATTGTTCGAACCCACCGTTATGTTCTTTGGACTTACCAACTCACCCGCCACATTCCAATCATTTATGAATCACATCTTTCATGATTTGATTGCACAAGGACACGTCGCAGTCTACATGGACAATATCCTTATCTTCACAGAAACCGATGAACACCACAAACAGGTAGTCGAACAAGTATTGAAGATACTCCAACAAAACAACTTATTCCTTAAACCGGAAAAGTGTGTTTTCCATACCACAGAGGTAGAATACCTCGGAATCATCATCAGCCACAATCAAGTTCGAATGGATCCATCCAAAATCGCCACAATACACGAATGGCCCATTCCTACAAAGAAAAAGGAATTACAGTGATTCCTTGGATTCTGCAACTTCTACCGCAGATTCATTCATAAATACTCCCACATCGCTAAACCCCTCACAATCCTCATGGGAGACATTCCATGGAAATGGGATGTTGAACAACAAACCGCATTCAACACATTGATCAACGCTATAACCTCAGAACCAGTCCTAGCATTGATTAAACCCACAGGTCAATTACAAATTGAAGCAGACACATCCAACTACGCTATTGGAGCAATACTTTCACAAAAACAAGATGATAAATGGCATCCTATCGCATACCTCTCAAAATCTCTTACAGAAACACAGAGAAACTATGAGATTTATGACAAGGAAATGCTAGCAATCATGCTTGCATTGGAAGAATGGAGACACTACCTTATTGGAGCTGCAGAAGTTTTTGAGATCTGGACAGATCATCAAAACCTCCAATACTTCCGTCAACCACAGAAAGTTAACCGTCGACAAGCTAGATGGCTTACTGAACTCGCTCAGTACGATTTTACACTGCATCACAAATCCGGAACAAGCCATATCAAACCCGACTTCCTGTTGAGGCTGCCAGGTCTTGAGAGGAAGTTACACTGAGCCACAGATCCTGATGGACTCCATCAGGAGTCCAGGTAGACTCCAGGAATTGTATCAGGAGTCTACCAACACTTCATCAGGACCTCTCTCAAAGTGAGGACAACTTTGTGTTGCCAAAGAATCCTGCTAAACTCCACATGAAGTCCTGATGGAGTCCACAAGGAGTGACACTAGTCCAGGACTCCTGTTAAAATCTTTTAACACTAGAGCAGGAATTCCCGGAAGACTCCACATGGACTCCAGCAATCATCCCGTTGCATCCCAAATATAATTAATTATTGCCAAAAAAACACATTATTCCATCCGGATTCGAACCCGAGACCTCGCATGATTAAAAGCGGCGCGCTTAACCACTCAGCCATTTGCCCACAATTTACAGTGAACAATAAGGAATGAAGTACCCACGGTCGCTCGGGCCAAGCCGCGTCACCCAAAATAAGCCACACGGCTTGATCAACCACAGCCGCAACCACTACCACCACCACCACCACCACCACCA